CAATGTTTTTGATAAAGAAATGGAGACTTAATTTCAATTCGTGAAGAATTTGCTTTAAATACTGTATACTCGCAGATTAACTATAGAACACTATAATCTGAGACACTTTCAAATAACTGATTTCTCGATATACATTTGATGATGATTGGAGTTGGAGGTACCAGATCCATTTAGTTCATAGTTTATATGTTAAACTCTACGAAATGACGGCAGTATATCATAAATATGGTTTATTTTGAAAAAAACACTGTTCGTTGTAATTGTTTTTTTAAAATTTCATTTAAATTTTTCATATTTTTCTCACTATCAGGTTTATTACTAGTTTTTAATGGTACCGTAAAAACAGTCTTATCAAATATATGGAACAAAATCAGTTTGGAATAAATTAATAAACCTTTCTCTTATTTAACAGGTCAATTTGCTTATTAAATCCCGTTTTACAACCATTTATAAGATAGATATGTTTGTGTTGCAGTCGCAACATGCAGTGGTGCAAATGGTTTGATTGGCTCATCGGCAACTGTAACGTGTAGTGTAAACAAAGACACGTACAGTTCTATCAATGTGACCTTCACCCCGAGCAAAACCCAGACGTCAAGCCAAGTTGTCGATATTCACCCTACCAACGGTGTGGTCAACGACAACAGCGGTGCAAACAGGGCTGTGACAGTCTTCAATGCTGGGAAAAACATCACCATTGCTTTAACATCGTTGACCTGTAGTGATGAGGGTGTTTTTCATTTTAATGTGTTTGCGATATCCGGGGACTCATCTACAACTGCGTCAGTCAGCGTTAGAGGTAATATGAATATTTTGAAAAGTATATTAAGTTGAATTGCGCTGGGCATAATATGTTTGTCAAGCACAATGTCTTAATTGTCAATTACTTTAGGTAGTATATTAATTCTTGAGTTTGTTTGCCAAACAGTGCAGTTGTAATTGGTACGTCAATCTCATAACAGAGTCTGCTGGCAGTTTATTATCTAATTTATTACCCGGTAAAATAACTTTCCAATATAGTTTCAAATATATATGGGATTCTGGTTTCAATTTTCGTAATTCCATAAACCAAAGCCATGTTGCATCATGGTTAATATTGCACCCTTAAAACAGTCTCAAATGAAATGGATTCGATGTTTGACGTTATAAATACGACCAAGTTACATCAGGCAAGCGTATTGTACAAGTTGGTTTCAAAGATATGAAAAAGTTCTGCAAACCTGCTTCCTTTCGGGGTAAATATTAAAATGCGGAAACCACAGGCTGTATTTCTGAGGCGTGAATCTTTTCATATAGAACCCTATAGAAAGAAGGTTATTCTTAAATAATTACTTGAATTTTGATTGAACTGTTACTTCGTTAAAACGCATTTGATCTCAAGTTTGTTAATTGCAGCCGGTTTTAAACATAGCGTCAAGTGACTCGACTTTGTAACGTTATGCTGTATAGATTCGCATTTAAATGTTGACAAAATCAAAAAAGTGCTTCTGAATATATTAAACGAGTCAATACATTGAGGAGTAACACAAATACTGTAAAGTCTGAAAATGCATTATACAGTCACTGTTAATTGGAAACTTTACCTACCAAGACTTGATTGTCGCTTCCTATGCAGCATAACGTCATTGTATACATTTGTTACGATGCATACTTTCCATAAAGACTTAAAGTGTGAAGGTTTTGCCAGAAATTTTAACCAATATTTCTATAGTAAAATGTGTCTGGAACAATGATCATTGACATGCAGATTAAAAGTGATGTGATCAAATACATGTCTTAATGTTTCCCCCCATATACACCGAAAACCAACCCAACGTTAACTCCAGCAACTCGTGTTGCTACCGGGCATCTTCTTTATCCTGAAATCAAATGTTCAGGAGAAACCGGCTACCCATCCGGAATTATTTATCTGCAGATAAAGAACGATGGATCGAGTTCCTATGTTAACGTCACAGAATTCACAAAAACGGAATCATCTACAGATGGCGATTGCGCAGTTACAAAAAATGCATCATATAGCGGAACCCCAACCATGGCTGTAAACGGGTCATATATTAGATGCGCAACAAGTCATCCAGATGCTGTTAATCCACTTTTCTCGGCAGAAGAAATGCTTTTGGTTATTGATGGTCAGTATGCTTATGGAATAGTTCGATAATGTTTTAGCATTAACTTTCAATATATAGTGTCAATTTGAATATCTAAATTGCTATTTTGAACTGACAATTTAAACATATTACGGAGGGGCCCTTTATTAGGGACCAAGTTGTTTATCCAAGTAAATTCTATAAATATATTCAGGTAAATGTCAATTAGCATGACAGCGCCAACATTTAATATATCATTCGTAAATATGTAAATTCACGTCCGTTAATATACAATTCAAAGTCACTGTAAGGACGAGAAAGTTGAGAAAACCTTTGTTGCGAAATAAAAGCATCTAGGACAAGAAATATGATTTCAACAGTAACTATGATGCCACTTATAAAAATAAGTTGTTCAGAACATTCATATGTTATATTACGTAGCAGTTTAATAACACAAACCCTTCAACGTGTGTCCATAAACGTGTAACGACACCAACCTCCCGACTCTATCGTGCACACCTTACCGTAATGATTTTTTAGTGCAAATTTGAAGGTGTAGTTTCAAGGTCATTCATTTCTGTAAGGCAATTTAATCATTTGTGCGTCATAGCCTTACGACATTGTAGACTTCAATAGGTATTGGACGTCAAACAGAACGTGGGTAAGCAAGGTGTAAATAGGAAAAATATTTTCTTTTAGGAATAGTGAATTACTGTTTACCTTACTTGGCTAAGTGGGTTTCAACAACGA